ACCCATCAACCAAGGTTAGTTTTCACTATAAGTACAACATATGTTTTGGACGGACACTATAATTTACAGTTTTTTACCATGTTCAACCTGTATTTTCTTTAAAATAAAAAACATATATATTGATTCTGACTTCTCTACATCCAACTCACAGGTTTATCATTACTTTGAGAAAAAAGATTATTAATTTAACCCTTTTAGAAGGGTAATATATGGTCATTTGTTCTGGGAATGTCATTTTCGAGCCTGAACCTGAAAAACAGGACTTGGGGCTTATTAAGCAATGTTTGGAATAGCAGAGCTAATCACAATTGTGACCAGTAGTATAATGCAACTATAATTACAGGATTAAGTGTCCATTTAACAGTTTGTCTGAATAACATTAAGTGCACTTTGAAATGTAAAACTCCAACATTCTATGATACATTGAATCGCTCAGTAGAGAACATATTTTGTATTGAATTATATATATAACAAGCCTGATTTTAATAGTGATATGATTTGACTGTGTTTGACCCCAGAAACCAACCATAAAACAAATTTTAAAGGACGACAAAATAAAAAATCCCAATTTTTCAGGCAATACACAGTGGACTAAATCAGACAGCATGTGGTTTAGGGCCCATCTGCCATAAACACTCTCATTACAGAGATTGGAAAGTTTTAAGACTTTCAATTATAATGCCTGGGGAGTCCTCTGGACACTATGGAGGTGGTGGGAGACAGGAGAATGGCAGCCAAGCTGTCCTCCCTGCTGGAAAATGTGTCCCACCCCCTTCAGGCTGCTGCACCCCCGCTGTCTCACGGAGAGATACCGCAGGTCCTTCCTTCCTGCAGCGGTCAGACTATACAACCAGCACAGCCCTAGTAGACCCCCACACACACACACCACGACACAGACTATAACACCCCTTGCTGTTAAATACCAACCAACTATGTGCTATATGTGCAATATATATATATATATATATATGCCGTTAATAACTGTATAATATATACCTGGCTGCTAAATCCTTAGAACTGTTACAAGATCTGTATTTTGTAAATTGTGTAACTTGCTGCTGTTAAATACCATCCAACTATGAGCAATTTGTGATATATGAGCAGTACATATATATATGCCGTTAAAACTGTGCTATATATATAGGGCCGTCCATGCAGACTGCGTGGGGCCTCACCTTGTGGAGGGGGCCTCATTTTGCGGAGAGTGCCTCAACCGAGCCGAAAATGTGGCGCACCTATCCGCTTATGCGGCACAATTAGTGTGGCGCAGCACGGTTTCTCTCTTGCATAGCCCCCCCCACCCCCGGTCGACGCTCGCGAAACCTAAGAACTGTTAAGGGATGTGTATTTAGAAAATTATGTAACTTTTTTTGTTGTTATATCATAACTTAGTACTTTTTAATGCATGTAACATATGTAACATATGTAACATTAAGCCGTCTGTGGCTCTTTTTCTGCTGTAACATGTACATTTCCCCTCTGTGGGACTAATAAAGGTATTCTGATTCTAATAGTGCATCAGTTGTGTTGGAATTTGGGCATCCTGACAGAATGACAACATTTCTGCTGGAAAATTCACTTTTTGTGCAGCCACAGTGGATTTCTAGATTGTTTTGACCATTTCAAGGACACATCAGCCGTAAAATGTTGGAACTTGGATCTGCTTTTATAAGTTGTTGCTCCCTTGTTGACATGTGTAGATGCGATATGGGAATGTTAATTTCCACAGCTCTCCCCCAAGTGATGCCTGAGCCATATTTTCTCAAATTCATGATCCCCTAATTACATAAATATAGTGGAGAACGATGGGAATAAAATCGGAAGAAATACAAACAAAGAAAGAGGATGGAAAAAATATGTTTTGATTATTTGGGTAAGATAGTTGAGATGTAATGCAGACTTGTAGCATGTGATTTGACAGCACCTGCAGCCAAACCAATGTGTCTGCATTAGCTCTCCTCTGGCTCATCATCAATGCACCATCACAGTCATCAGCTGCTTATTTTTCCCAACAGTGCCATGAAGTCATAGCTTAAGTGACCAATTAGCCCAAAAACAGTTACACCTGGAGCATCTCTTGAGATAACAAGAGCAGGATGAAGCAGGGAATTTATTGTTGCATTGCAGGACATCTGTTATTGGAGGACTGTGAAATCAACCTACCAAATCCCTGTAATTATTACTATTACACCTGCGTTTATGTTTGTGCATTTCTATTTAAGTTCTGGTCTGTTTTGGTTAAACGTCTTGTGGGCTTACTGTGAGGTCTAACATGAGCAGGGGAAAATAGTTGTCATATGTACCAACGCCTGTATCTAGCTGAAATCCCTTTTTCCTAATTACCGCCTGCTAACAATCTTCCTGCCTAATTCATGCTTTTTGGTCAAAATGTGGGCGCTATCCTCTAACTCTCTCTAAGTTCAGCCAAAAGTGTTTGTGGTGAATATTCAACCGTAATTGATGCTTGAAAAAAAGGCTGCATGAGGCCCCAAGATGATGTGCACAAGTGTTTTCTGTTCTTTAGAAAGTAGAACAGGTGGCATTTGCTAAGCTATGTGTGCATGAAAGTATTATGGGATCAAATTAGATTAAAGGTGGATGGAAGTGGTGAAGGAAAAAAAGTCGGTAAATGGAGAAACAGAGAGACTGACTTGACATTTCCAAATGGAATGGTTGAATGTACACAGCTGGGTGTAATAGAATAATACAATGTATTGTCTGCATTTTAATTATTGCTTTGACTTCCCACAGGCTGCCAAGGATTGTTGTGTACACATAATTTGCTGCTGACAGCTTATCTGAAATCTGCCTCGCTTGTCACAGAGAAGGTGCTGGTTCAGAAGTCTTAGCGATGCTGAGAAATGCAGCCGGTAAATTGAAAAGCTGCATTGTTTGGGATTACTTTTGTGATGTCAAGTGTGATACAAATGGCGCTCTGTGCATGTATGTTGCAACTTCATCTTGATGTGCAAGAGGAATAATGAAGGGGCCCTGAATATGAGTCTTGGAGGAAGGGTTGGATCTCAAAGAACTTGTAATGCTTATATAACCTCTAGTGATGCAGTTAAATTGGTTTCAGAGATGATATAACACAGGCATCCTGATATAGTGTTTGCAGGTTTGGGTCCGAAGGCATCAGATAAACACACATCCATCTGTCCCCTCACCACCATGCTAGTGTGTAGCACAGAAATGTCAACAATCTGAAACAAAGTTAACATGTGTTTGTATACAGATAGACTCCGTTCAAAGAAATCACCTTGCTTGAGGGAGAATGGCAGACTGGAAGCTGTTCTAGGTTTTATCTGTGATGGGGGACAAGAGGACAGAAAGCAAAACATTTCAGAAATACATTTTTGGAACTTTAGTTACTTTATCCAAATGGCAGATGTTCTAGCATTCATCTCTGTTCTCACATCATAACATTTAATGGAAAACTCGGCACAATGTGGAGCCGCCCTGATGCTGACATACACTGTCGAGCTGTGTCTGTAAACAGGCTTTAACGACACAAAAACACAGCAATATTTCTGTTCTCTAGTCAAATCCAACCAAGACGAATGGTTTCCCTTAAAACTCTCGACACAAATGTGTCTCCATTGTCAACGTTGAGATGAACTCATCTGTAATCATGATGTCATTTGGAAAAAAAACAGAAATCTGCTTATATGCGAGTTCACCACAACAAGAAAAAGATGTTCATGAATCATGGTCATTACAAGAGTCAGGATTAAGCTGTAGACTTAACAGAAATATGTGTGTTTGCAATTTTGTGTGGCAAAGTAGACTGGAAAGATCATACTAACACCATTATGGAGCTTTCAATCCCAGAACATGATTTTCACATGATATCATTTGAATATCTCGGAGCTGCACTTGGTAATCCCACATTAAAATGTTCTACTTTTAGATATTTGTTTTACAAGTTATTTAAAATAGTTAATAAATAATGCACAGTCAGTGGGAGTTCAGTGAAAAAATGCTTTGTTGTCATACTGAAAAAAATTATAACCTTAAATTGAAAGATCTTTGAAAGGAGATGGAAAATTCTTATAGCCCTTTACATAATAATCTTGAAAATAACTGATATCATTTGCAAGATCGAAGCAAGGTTTATATGATTGATGATTCTGGCTGCACCTTACACCAAGTAAATAGCTCGTACAGTATGATACTCTCGTCCAAAATTGTGAGTTGGTTCAGAGCTGACTTTCAAATGTTTTGTATACTAAAACTGGCAAGATAGAGGGGTACATTATAATTAAAGGAAACGTGTCCCTTATTTCCAAAGCTCATGCAAAATTAACCAACTGTACATAGACACACCTGCATCCTCAAGAGAGGGGGTAAAAGGGCACATCCGCTCTGAAGAAGGGGTCTTCCATTAACTATCGTGACATCTGAATGAAGGAAGTGGCCTCTCTCCGAATTTGTTTTGAGTGGCCATTTCAAAAGAGGTCATGCATCACTTTAAAGTCAAACCCCAGAAGGCCTAATCACACACACAAAACCCATACACAAACCCACACACACGACATAGGCCAATGATCAAAAGTGTGTCTCTACCTGCCCAAGTTGACACAAAGACACACACACACACACACACACACACACACACACACAGGATGAGATTAGATCAGACAGCAGTTGAATGACCCAAATACAGAGCCAAAGATAGCATCTGAAAATCCCATCAGTGTGGATTATCACTACAACCAAGGTTTTCATTATTTACACTGAAACACACAGTGAATGTATTGAAGAAACATGCATTACAGTCACAAGAGCATCATAATCAGAAACACTTTAAAGATCCCCTCGGGGAACTGCTGGCTAATAAAATGAATATTTCACTCAAATGAAAATAACCTCTCCACCCACTCAGTCTGAGCGTCTGACGGAGAAAGCGAATGAAAAAGATCATACTGTTTGTCTCAATGGTGAAAGAAGTACTCTGGTACTTTGTCACTTTTCTTTTTTCTCCACTACTGTGTGTGTACCTGCTGCAGGTCGATCTGAGCGCTGTGGATCACTCCCTTGATGTTGGAGAAGCCGAACCTCTCCTGCAGGTGCTGCAGTTTCTCCTGTAGGGAGCCGATCTTCTGGTAGCAGCTCAGCAGGTTTGGTCTCGCCATTTTTGCAAGAGCCTGAGGCACAAGCAGAGGATGGGGTTATGGATTTTAAAGCCCCCTCAAGAGTATTAAAACACATCCTTTCTTTAGCATCCATATTGTTTCCAAATCATGTCTAAACAGATTAGCGCATCAAAGTGGAAAATCCATTGGAGTTCTTCCAAGTTGCCTTTTAGTTGTATATACACTCAAAACATTTTTTATATAGAATGCAATATCTTAGATACAACCTAGAAGGTAAAACCAAATAATTATCGGATGTTTTTCTCTGAAAGAATTTATTTAAATGATTATTTTGGTTTATAGTAATACGTTCATAATCTGAGATTAAATATCATTCATCATTTCAGCCCAACTATTTTGTTTTATGGGACAACAATGTGGATATACTTTAGAGTATGTCTGTTAAGAGTACAGTACAAAATGTGTTTTATTTGGTCACATGGGTTGGGCTCTTTAAAATGTTACAGCAACATTCTTTAGTAGAATTTGTTGGGTAGACACTTTTCTAGATTGAGTCTTAAAAAAAAGAAAATGTATTATTATTAAAATTAATTCTGATGTGACTATAAAAGATGATTATTCCTCAGTTCATTTGACCAATCTTTTCTGTAATATATTTATTACAACCACACCTCCTTCACTTGCTCATTGTCCACCAGCATCATGACGTCCTGGCACAGCTGGTCCATCATGGTTTCACTCAGCTGCCGTCCCTCCTGGAAGCCTGAGCTGACGGGCTCCATCAGCTCCTCCAGCACAGAGCCCAAGTACGGCTGCACCGACTCACAGCACAGCTTCTCTGCTGGCTCCGATACTTTGGCTGGAGGGAGAAGTTAAACGTTTATTCTCAGAAAACAGCCATGCATCACAGCTCAGCCTGTGTTTGGCAGTCGGCCTCTGGACGTTACCTCTGACTTTCTCCTCCAGCTGCCATCGGGACTCGAGGATCTGGTCCATGTCGGAGTGGATGAGAAACTCCTGCTGCCGGAGCGATGTTCGACATTCCTCCTTCAGTGTGGAAAGTCCCTCCAGCAGATGCTCCTGGATCAGGATGTAGGCCGCCTCCACCGTCTGGGCAGAATACAGTAATTAATCAAAGGTCCATGATTTCGGCTATATTAATTTGCTACTGCTTTACAAAATGAAACTTTAGAGCCATAATATAATTCAGGGAATGGCCTACAGTATGAAGGCACAATTTATCCTTTCAGATTTGACTGGGTTAAGTTTGTGATTAAACAAAAATATAACCCTGAGACTGACATTAATATGCTCTTCGGGTGCCAATTTGCAAATAAAATAATACTTTTTTATTGAATGGAGAAGGAAACAGCTGCATCATCAGTCACAGGATATTAAAAAAGGTATCAAGTTAAAAGTGTGACTCACAGCAAACCACACTCTCTTCTTCTCCGTCTTCTTGGCCTTGAGGTGAGGCAGCATGTCTTTCTCCAGAGACGGCAATAACTGCTCCATCACCACGTTGGCCATCACCTGCAAACACACACAGGAATTCAATTATCACTATTTTCCAACACATCATTTAACATCTCAACTGTCTAAAACATTTCAGGGTTGCCAAAACCCAAAGTGATGTTGGATTGCATTGCGTTTGGCCACCTGAGACTATTCAATTACTACTCAGTTTGATTATAAAACACAAAGGTATTTAGGAATATGCATTCTATACAGAGCCTTACATAATAACCTACTCCTGTTTTACCTTATTGCAGATATTTATGTGTTAATCTTAAAATGACAAGAAATTGCAGTTTAGAAATGTCAAACTAGGTTTAAAGTCTTTTTTAATTTTTTAAAGGTGACTTTGTACACTAACATTGTACCACATATTATGATTCTGGTCACAAATAAAAAATAAAAAAAAGTATAAAAAGGCCTCCAAAATTGCTTGAACTTGTTGAAAAAAAAACACATTTTGTCTAAAGATGTGGATTCATATCTCCAGTTTAACCAACAAGTGGGCAAAAGTCTTAAAACTAGATTTTAACTAAAAAAAGCATCAAATTTTCCCATTGAGAATGTGCTTCAGTTATGCATAGTACCAAAAATAACTCTTTACTAACCGCAAAAATTATGCTGTTAAAACAAAAAGCAAACAAAACTGATGTCGCCCAGTTTGTAATCCAGCCTTGGTGAAATGAACTTAAAACAAAGAGCTTGATAAACCCCAAATGCCTCAACTGGGGTTATGAAGAAATCCTCTCAATCAAATCCAATTCTCAATTATTTTTTAAGATGACCTGCCAACTAACAGAAGACAGGATGACATGTACCACTGAAGATTAGTCCTTCTTACAGTTTTTTGGAGAGTGTAAAGGTTATTTGCAACCAATCTAAACTGGTAATGGATACAGTATTTGTAAAATAAAATGATAAACTCCACTGAAAAACATTATTTTGAGGAGCATACTTTTTGTTCAAGTGCATTTATTGAAAAGTCCCTTTTTTCTAACAAAATAAAAAGGCATCAAAAATATCCAATAATAAATCATTAAGCCTGGATATATTATGGTATTGGGTTTTTTGATAAATTGCTTAACTGCTTACTTAACACAAAGATAAGTGAACTCTCTGCTCACTCACTTTCTATCTATCTAACCATTCGTTAAGTTTGACAGCTTTTATGATTTAGCAGCTGCTGACACTCTTTACTCTGACTCTGCCGACATTTCATTCATTCCTCGCATGTCTCAGCTCTGACGAACGCTATGTGCAAGAAAGAAAAAAATGCTGTTGAGTGAGGGCAAGCATGTGTACTCTGGTATGTATTTTTATTACACGTGTATGAGCTGCACACTTGGGGCACAAAACAGGAAATGTCTGAGTTATTACTAAGACAAATTGCTTTTAAATTGTGTGTGTGGGCTTCCTGCAGCAAGTCCTACTTCCTTTCACCTTCAACTGATTGTGCCTAAACACAATGTGAGCGAAACAACAAAACAATGGAGCATTTAGCCTGTCACCATGCTCTGCTTTAGAGGAGCACCAGGAGAAAGCACAACACATAGCAGAGAGCATGGAGAAGAGCAAAGAGAGTAAGGAGGACAGTCTGAAGCAATAAAAGCTCCTCTCATCTCATGTTTTTCCCAGAGAAAGCATGAGGAGTGTGAGGATGCAAATGAGACTGATGGTACACACCCTGCAGCCTGTAAACACTGTAGGAAAGGGAAGCTATTATATAGCAACCGAATACCTATTTATAGGGGCCCTATTATGCGTTTTTGGTTAGGTGGTTTCCCTTTCCTGTAGTGTGTTGTATATATGTTTGTTTATTTAAATAGCCTGCAAAGGCTAACATCCCAAAGTTCCCTCCAGAGGGAGTTTCTCTAACATGACTCGAGTCACATGACTTGACTCAAGTCGCATATTTTTGGACTTGAGACTTGCTTGACTAACATTGATAAAAAACTTGACTTGACTTTGACTTGGTATTCATGACTTGAGACTTGACTTGCTTGACTCTCACCACAGTGACTTGGGACTTGCTTGATACTTGTAGGTCAATACTTGAGACTTGCTCATGACTTGCACATGTAGGACTTCCTCCCACCTCTGCTATGTACCACTTGCGCTTCTATTGGCTAGTGCTCCAGCAGACTTTACATGATAGGCTAAGGGACGGGACATCTTTAAGCGGTTGACTTATCACAACAGAGCCAGCCAGCTAACCAATCAGAGCAGACTGGGCTCTGGTTTCAGACAAAGGGTGAAAAGAGGTGCTGCAGCACAGGCAGTATGAGGAAAATAAAGGCCTTTGAATTCACCCTAAGATTGCTTTAGAAAAATGTGGGACACACATGTTGTACATCATGCTGGAGCAACTGATGTCAGATTCTGTCTATTCAAATGGTTTTATCGTCAGCCAACCACGGTGTGCTGCTCCTCACAAATGTTTTGGTCTCACAGCTGAACATCTGTTTCATGAATTTGCTTAAGTGGTCTGCAAGCTCAAGTTTCTCTGTTTGACACACAGAGATAATAGTTCATGGTTCACCAGGGGATAGAGTGAGACTCAGTGGATGGTCAATGCAACAAGAAAGGAAAAACATAGGGGAACACTACATTTGTCTTTTTTCCAGTTTTTCTGTACTTTTTTATCTTTTGTTTGACTTTCTTTGCAAGAAATCCTGGGGATTATAGTCAGAAATGAATACTGTTGATTATTTGCTTACTCAGCAATTGCAATTGGGATAAAATATGAATCTCATGTCTGTGTGTTGAGTACAGAGTCAAGACTTAGCCTAGTTTAGCATGATGACTGGAAAAAGGGGGAAACAGTTGGCCTAGCACCTACAGGCATCTTTAAACACATTCAATAACAGTGAGGGTATTTCCCATCAATCTTCTTTAAACTATTCTTTAATAAAAGGTGTAGATGAATCCTATAAATCTACTGAGGATCTAAATGAATAGAATAATTAGTTGAGAGTTTGGGACGTACCCTGACATCACTTCCTATCAGCATTTCCCAGGACTCGTATCGGTCTTTGTCCTGTCTGTAGAGCTGGATGGCTTTGAGGAAGGCCTGCACTTCACACGTCTTCTTCTTCAGGAAGTCTGACAGAGAGGGAAGAGATGGAGATTTAAAAAAACTACCAGGTTAAGAAACTGCCAGAATAATTTGTCATCATTCTCTTGGTTTTAAGCTATGATGTGAGCTGAGTGTAAAGCTACATCTCCTCGCTGGGCTGCACAGAGAAGGGATGTTCTGCTTCAACATCATTATATAAAAAAAGTCTTGAACGTCTCTGCTCCTCGGAGCTGGTGTGGCAAGTCTGTTGCCATGGAAACTGTCGAAAGTGGTTTAAGTGATGGTATGCAACCTAAATCTATCTCTCGTCATCACTTAGCTGTGATCAGTTTCAGTTAATTCAGTCTGTAACAAGTAATGATGCATTCCGGCAGAGTAACATGGATCATTAGGTACCATCTAATGAGCTATACATGTTATAACGTTTTTTAAATCAATATGACACTGGAGATAGGACAATCCTTTTCCATATTCTGGCTGCAACTAAATCATTGTCATCATCCATAAATCTGCCTATTCTCCTAACAGATTAATCTTTTAAATGTATGAAATGCCACATAATAGGGAAACCATTCGTCTGAAATGGCAAACAACTGTTCCAATCCAGAATATATTAAATCTACTATTAAATAAAGGCCTCAAAAACCGGTAAAGCTTGAACATTGGAAGAAGGCTTAAAAACTAAATGTGTACTGACAAAATAAATGAAATTGAAAGACGTGTAATTTTCTCATAGACTTCCATGCAATTTGCCTTCTTTCTGTAACCATTGGAGTTGCCCCCTGCAGGCTATCAGAGGGATAAGACGGCCATTTTAAGCCACTCCCCCATTGGATTTATTTCCAGATCAGGGGGCTGCTCGCTAGTCTCACCCTGGTTCTGGTGCCTGATGCAGTCTGACAGGATGGAGAGGAAGGCGTCCTGCTTGGCCTGCTGTTTGAAGCAGAAGTAGGAGTCCCTCCTGTAGGGAAGACGCAGGTAGACGGGAAACTGTCCCGGCATTCCAGAGAGAGGAGGAGCAAAGTCCTCATTCACATCTGAAACAAAAGATCAGCTGAGGGTGAGCACCAAAATAAAAGGAAAGACGATGTTTCAAACACATTAATGGTTTAATGTTGGGTTGGTTGGTTTGAATGTTTAGTCCACACCGACTTTTTATCAAGTATGATATCGAATGACCACATCCTTATTTCTATCTGAATTTGCTTCATATTAAACACAATCTTCTAGGTACATCAACTGAGTGGGCGTTTCTGCTACCAGTAGTGGAAAGTACATTTACTCAAGTACTGTACTGAAGCACAATTTTGAGATACATGTCCATGAATATTTAAATATTATGCTGCTTTATAATTTTACTCCAATATATATATATCAGAGCGGAATATAAAAGTTTTTGCTGCACTACTGTACATGTATTTGGCAGCTACTTTCACTTACAGATATACAATTATTGAGTAAAATACATCGTAAATGTTGTAATTATGCAAATTATTTAAAAATACTTAAATACTATAGGTAGGTGGAATCACAATCTGTAACCATAAATGTAATAAAAGAGCTAGAACACCATAATATTATACATTTATATATAAATAAATAAATCAATACTTTATTTTTTTTTAATATCACATTAGCCCTACTAACTGGTACATCGCGTCAACCCTAATGAGTACCTTTTGTACTTTAAGTTTATTTCAATGCTTTTATATGTAACAGAGTATTTCTACACTGTATTAGTATATGGGTTCTATGGTGGGCAGATTATGTTTTACTGTGTGTGTTTAAAATAAAGAAGACGAGTAGGGTGGATTATTATTTTACTTCTACTCTAATAATCTCTGTTCAAAACGTTTAAACTTTATGACCCCATAACACATGGATGTTCTTTAAAGCTTTAGGGAGTGTGAACTTGTGTCGGGAACAGAATATCTGAGAGGAAAGAGACGCATGGCTGACTCCTGAGCTCTCATATTTCATGTTATAGACTCTCACAGCTTCAGTGGCTGAACCACTAAGCCAGATGAGCCTTTTGGGGCTTTGAGCACCACAACACGGTGCTACTTTGCAGCTCATATTTTCAACACTCTTGCAAAAACAATCTTGATTGATAAATTGCTCCACAGTAAAGAGGAAAAATATATCAAACATCTTTAGATTTTTGGATAAAATATCCCTTTAAACTTAACAGCTATTTATTGCTGTAAGAGGACAAGGCTAACAATGAGTCAAACTACAAAGTGTGCCTTTTTAGTTCATGTTTATACTGGTGGCAATTATACAATTCTCTATAAACAGACATTCTCAAGGATAGCCTTATCAGTCATTATGATTTAAGTCATGCTCTGAGTGTTTGTTTTTCTTAAACAATGCTTATTTCATTCCTTCAGTCCTTCTTGGCTCCCACCTGAGCTTCTTTAAGCTTTGAGCACCCGTGGGTGGGAGTTTGTTGTTCAAGATCTAAGTGGGAACACTTCAGGTTTCTCTTTTGTTTAAGAAACAAGTCCTACAATTTAAACATGAAATGTATTATCTAGAGGGGTAATAATGTCTTCTTTGTGTGTTAATAGAATGGATAATGATGTGTGATAAGATATTTCACATTTTACTGATGGATAATGATGATTAGAGATTGTAAAAAGAAACAAAATACATGTATTTTCAGAATTATTTTCTATTTAAACTTAATTATAGCCTGTATATTCTTTGCATTTTGAAAATGTTCGAAACATTTAAGGATGATATTTATAACAATTTAACTTATTTAAGCTTGAGTTCCGCATTTTGTTACAGAGTACATGATCCTGCAGGTTCATCTGTAAATAGAATTCTTTCTTATTCATAATCTATAACTAACAGGCGAACATAGCGCACAGGTCAAAACACCCAGCATCTCTTTATGAGAGCATGCTTGTGTGCAAACAGCCAAATTGTCATCATTACGTCATAAACTCATCCTCTGCACAGATTACTGCGTATTCAGCACAGACACACAACTGTTTCCAAAATACCAGAGGCTGAAATGACCTCGATAATTGCTCCGTGTTGAAAAATCTGCAGGGATATTTTCAGGACAGATAATCGAGGGCTGAGACTTTAAAGTCTGTAAACACAATAGAGGCGCAATAAGGCTGTGATATCCACTGCACACACAAACTACATTCTGATAGAGGAACAAATGGAGAAGATTTTGCTATTTTAGTTTGTAGACATTAATCACGTAGGGATCATATATGCTGTCTTCAGTGCTGAATGAAGTATGCAGATGCTTTTCTTAAAAAGGAGAAAACACTCCCATTACAAGTAAAAGTATTTTGGAAAGTAAAAATCCATCTTTTTCAAAGGAATAATACTTATATAAGTGTTGCCTAACTTTTCTCTGGAACTCTCCAGAAATACTGTTTGAACATAATTACGAATGAGGGTAGAACTATTTATTTTTGAGAAATGGCTTGCTTTAGCAGTTTAGCATATTAGCACGTTATAGCATGATTTCAAAAATAGCTATAGGCTATAGCTGATGCTAACAGTAACAGTGAAAAGACAACATAATAATATAACAAATATTGAATTAGTGAACAAGTAACCAATGCTCTGTGTTGTTTTTTTATTTTTGTTCAATTACATGATAAGAGTTATAAGGCTTTACTTACTGGTTTCATCAGTGAAGAACTTGTCCACCATGGCCATGTACTTCTCCTCTGTGGTCAGAACACTGCCCCCTGTAGGCAGCATTTTCTGGCGTGGAAGCATCCCTTTTAAAAAAGTCTGATGGAAGAGGAAAGAAAAAAGTATGATTAGAGGGCGACAATTGGTATGGAGATTGAATTGTCCTTTTGTACTGTTGACGCTGTTCATTTGACTTGGTGGCTGTCCTGCTCACCTCCAGGCTGTCGTGACACTCCAGGCAGTAGTTGGCTCTCACCACCACGTACCTCTCCTTCCACTTCCTGGTTTCGTCAAAGAAAAGGACCGCCTCTTCGTATAGCACCTCGCCCTCCTCAGTAGCCTCCTGGTCGGCACAACACATACAATTGATACACAGCTAAAAATGTGGCACAGATTTAAATGTTGTTCTAGGTGGGGATTCAACCACTGACTCTCTTATTGGTAGAAGCCCATTTAACCCCTGATCTACAGACGCCTCTTGAATGAATGACTATCAATTTTGAAACTATGACATAAACTAAGATGAACATTTTTGGGAAATCATACTCTGATGAGTATCTCTATATTTTCACCTTCCGTCAAGGTTACGGTCCATTTGTAATTGGAAATAATTTAAATTGTAAATGTGTGTATGTTGGAGGATTACAACAACACTACTGGCCTGATTTTCTTGAAATTTGATTTAGGTGTGTGTCATGAACAAGAGAAGAACACATTTAATTTAGCAGCAGATCTAAATCCCGAAGCTGATACACAAGTTATTCCCTGGAAACAGCCTTGGTAGAGGTTGGTGCTCTTCTAGCGTCAATGAGACAATTCAAACAATTTAAAGCAGGAGAAAACACATCAGGTCAGGCTGGATTTGATAATCAGGAAAACAATAACCTTTGATTACTTTTACTTATTTGTCATCATGGATTGTTTTTCAATCAGCCCTTTCATTAGTGAGTTTGAGAAGAGTACTTCTGGCTGTTTGTTTTATCCATCTCCTAAATCTGTCCCTGTAACATATTTAAAATGAATCATCTCTGTCTCAAGCTGGATAATATTTCAGATGTTAGTCACACCTGCACATATTCTCACTCCTCCATTACGCTGTCAAACCGTAACCAAACCTTTGATTAATTCGACCCATTTGTAGTAAGTTCTGACTCAGATGTCTGGAACCAGTGTGTGACACATACCTTCTGGTTGAGGAGCTGCGTGATCTTCTCCTTCCGCTGCTCCAGGTCATCTTCAACCTGAGAGAAACGGGCCACAGAGAACTGCTTCCTGTAGTACGGGCTGAACTCCTTCAGCGTGGTCTCAGCCTGGCCTGCAGGAACACACAGAAAAGAAGCCAAAAGATAAGTAACTGACTGCTTTTATTAGGATATGAAAGCAACAAAAACATTTCAATAGAACTGATTATGCAGACGACCGGTGTCTCAAAAGACAACCCATTTGTACTCAATGAGGCCAGACAGAGAAGGATATTCATGGCACAATCTGATTTGTACCTAAATTAAGTCATTTAAAAAGAGGACTTTTTCAGATTCATATTACTATTTTGTGTCTCTATGTGACATGTCTCCATGTTTTAGTGTTGAAAAAGTGCTTAATTTGTCTCATACTGCCTGTGCTGCAGCACCTCTTTTCACCCTCTGCTCTGATTGGTTAGCTGACCGGCTCTGTTCTGATTGGTCGACACTTAGAGATGCGTCAGGTATGAGGATGTATGTGCCGCCCCCGTTAGCGTATCATGTACAATGTATTAGAGCGCTGGCCAATAGAAGCCAGCAAGTGTTACACGGTGATGTCACTATGTCATGGAGGTTTCTGGCTTTGCAGACCATTGATATGCACAAAAAACTATATAACACTCTACAGGACATAGAGAACCAAAAAAGCATAATAGGGCCCATTGAATTACAAGCGATTTCCCTGCTAGCTCTCTTCATGTTAAGCAAGGCTGACCCCAGATCTGCACTGAACACACAGACATGAGATTTATAGCCATCTGAATATCTCACTTTCCAAATATTTCCCAAAATAAGAAAGAGATTACTTGCATTAAAACAGCCAAGTTAAAAATATAATACAAACCACATGAAGTTGGAACTGAACTGGTCAAAACTGGTCAAAACTCTTTTGGTTGTGTTGCGTTTGCCAAAGAACACACACAACAGAGCTTTCTAAAATCAAAACCTGAGCTCATCTATGTGCTCATTTTCCATCTCTTCCTCTGTGCCGAGACATGCCAAAGTCTTCCTCCCGCCTGGATAACAAACACCAGATGACATCACACTGTTCCCGAGGTGATTTCTGCATGATGCTGTAATCCGGTCACTGAGGTTAGTGTCTCTCTGGATCCTCTATCCATTATAAGACATCTAATCAGACTCTGTCCGAGTCCCCAAGGCCTCTGTCACGACATCATACATTCAGTCCCTCCTGTGGTCTATCAATATACGGCTATCTGGCAGCGCATTCCCATTATTTGAGAGAGAAACCTCTCAGATTTCACTCTGCTTAAACCCGGCCAGATTCCTGGCGCAGAGGGATTTTGTTTCTTAGGAAAAACACAACAAAGAATAAAGTCACTGCAGAGAGTTCCCCATGTTTCTGTCTTTTCTCTGCACGGCTGCAAACCACATCACCGGGGCACAAAGAGAAAACATTAAATGAGTATTTACGCTGCCTTAAATGCTCAATATCCACAAACTATGAGAGGTAATTCCCAGTGACACATCCTCCACTTAATGGATAAACATGCCTGAGCGTGCGGTGGCTGTTTACTCTCTCCCTCTCAGTGTTAATGTCGGGGTCCGTGAGCTCTGTCATTATCTCTCTGGATGTGTTACAGCAGGGGTGATGGCACGGCGCCACCACAACCCGGCTCAACGTCACCATGGAAACAGAAGCTGCGATCCTCCGTTACACTGGGTTTGAGAGTCGAAAAAACAAATTCTGAGGCTTCGAAGGGCGAAGAAAAGGGAAACCTTTTTTTAATGATAACAAAAGAAATCCCTCATGTTTACCTTAAAATTCAATTATTTCAAAAATGCATAGGAATATAATTAATGTTTTTAGAGAAAGTTCAAAGGGATCACAAAACAATAACATTCTAATTAAAATATAAATATATAATTAATAGCTATTTAAGGTATTTGATCTTCAAAAAGGGACCTTCATTTTTCAATTGAAGTCTAATTCAGCCATGACTTTTGTGTTACTTTTTAAATTTCATACATTTTTACCCCTTAAAAAAACTTTTTAATTTAAGTGGTAATCCATAAAGAAACCCATATCTTGTTATAGGTCAATAAATAACCCCTTAATTTAGGAAATTCCTTATATGCGCCTCTTTATATAAAGATATTTTTGTTAAGGACTCAACTTGGGGTAGCTGTATTATTATATTACATTAGTGTAAGGATCACTAACTCCTTAAATCAATCCATATGAAAAATGCATTAATACTTATAATCCATAATTAGATTTTGAAAGATTACCCTATTGAATACCTGGATGATACATTTTTTATGTATGCTTGTTTCACGTATTTTAGAGCCCTAATGTAAACCTAACTCACAACTTTAATAACTTGAATCAATAATGAATTCCAATGTCAAATGTTTCAAATAGTATAAATTAGGGATAACAAAATGTAAGAGCCTTGAAATGAAGGTGTTCTATTATAAATTTCTGGCCACTATACCAAACAGGTATAGGAGACCGATGGGTAGACCTAGGACCAGGTGGAGGGATTATATCTCTTCGCTGGCCTGGAAGCACCTTGGGATCCCCCAGTCAGAGCTGGTTGATGTGGCCAGGGAAAGGAACGTTTGGGGCTCTCTGTTGGAACTGCTACCTCCGCGACCCGACCACGGATAAGCGGGAGAAGATGGATGGATATACCAAACAGTAAGTCACACATCTAGATTAAGATTTTTGGCGTGGATGAAGCATAATGAAATGTATTTTACCAAGTATTATTGTTCACAGCTAGGCAGCAGTTGTTTTAATCAGCAGCTGCAGTGTGAAGCTGGATCTCAGGGGACCGCCCTGTTTTTTCCTCAGACCTAAACAATGCAGTGTGTAAAAGGTTAGCTCTGTGTCTGGTCTACCCGTTGACCCTGACAAGCCCCCTCCCCCCCTCCTCTGATCAGCTTCTCAGAGTGGATATCCTGGGCAGTTTCCCTCTCCTGACCCCACACATGCCATTGTGATTTCACAGGGTCTGTTCATCTGGGCAAGATTCAGTATGATCTTCTGAGGATATTTTGGGGGAGTATCCACATTTTTACTGACCCCCTGACCTTTGCTGCAGTGACACCATCAGTACGGAAAGAAGCTCCACAAAGGATGATTCCTACACATAGGGCAATGCTGCGATCAAATTGTCAACTTTACACACAATGTATCTTAATCTACTTTAGATGTTTGCTTTGGGGTTGCAAGACAAAACAATAGTTTTTTCATGATAATTTACAAGATGCAAGGAACATTTTGAAAATGGAGTAGTTTGGGCGACATCACCCCACAAAATAAGCTGCATAAATCAGCGAAAATCCCTATTTGCTCAAACTTGTGACTTCTCAGCAGCACAGGTTTGTTTTAAAAGGTCACATGCCAACAACTGTTGAGAACAACTGTTATAAATTAAATCACTCGGGTACAAGGTTAAACTTTTTCCAATAAAGTAGAAGCTGTGAGTCACTCACAGAAACCCCTCACAGACACAGAGAGACATTTTATTCTCTCTGTGCACAGAAAATGGATTTGATTTGTCAGTTAGTACAGATGTTTGTTCTGCTTTGGCTGCCAGCTGGGAGACACATACGTTTTCTGTTATAATTGACTGACTCATTCTCTGCAATTTGAGAAGCAGCAGCACAAATCAGGCTGGAGGAGGACTTTCTTCTCCTTCAGTGAGTCTCCCTGCTCCGAGTTCATTTTAGTCCACGTTGCAGAGTGAATGGCTGTGACGCCGGCCCCTAACTAAATGCCCAGCTGCTGTTAATGCAAAATATCTGCAGCCGCTGTTTGTTTAATTTATTCAGATTGGGTGGTTATGCAAACGCAGAGAGGAAGCCGGAGGAGGCTTGGAATATTTAGACAATCCTTCATGCATGTACAGCACTTTGGCTATATAAATAAAACTTGATTTGATTTCTTTAAAAAGAGGTTAATGTTAATAAGCATTGTATAGTAACGCACATACTTTGATTTTAGTCACTGCTGTTAAGACAAGGCACTTTTAGGGACTGTGTAAAAATTATTATTATACAAATTCGTTTTCTAAAATATTTCTATAACATATTATTCTTGATAGTCAATTGAGTGCCTCTGCTGTTTAAAACAAATATTGAAAAATATAGTCAAGCTAGGGCTGCACGATATTAGAAAAAACTGACATTGCGATTTATTTCCCCCCTGTGATATATATTGCGATGTGAAAACATACAGGAATTGAAAACCATCCTTTCTTGAACTTTAATGCTATACAATTGGTATTTTTTTTAACTATATTTAACCGGATGAAGGATTTTAGTCACGGACGTCTGGATCTTAAGTTATCAGAGCAACAAGCTGAGCTAGCCCGGTTAGCAGCGCCGAACTGCCCTGGAGAAACACATGAAACTACTTTATTCAGTGTTTTTACCTTTAATCACCAGGTCCGTTTGCTTTGGAGATTTGATTGTGATTTTTGCAGAGCCTGCATGTCACTCACTCAAGTACCCCTGACCCCTTGTTTTCCTTTTGTAGCAAGCAGCAAAATAATTTTAACATGACGTGTTTGAGTTAATTTGCCTACTTTTTTTTTTTTAAATCGCACGTCCTGCGATGTGAATATCGCGCATGCGCATATCGCGATTATCGTCACGACACGATATATCGTGCAGCCCTAAGTCAAGCCTAAGCACGACAATATTTGTTTTCCTATAGTCCCTCAGAAATGCGTTGGGGCTGCGCTAACTTGACATTACGGAATTATTATTATTAATCGACATAATCACAGATTTCTCACAATGCATGTTTTGTTTTTGTTTTGTTGCTGTTTTTCAGGGACATTTCTGATGAATCACAATGACTGTTAATGAGGCAGCGTAAGCCATCTGCCTGCCTCTCATTGCTTCCCTCGGCTCATTAAAACTGAGTGGCAAACACACATTATAAAAGACATTATATAAATCCAAGCATGATTGGGTCATGAAGAGCAAATTAACCACAGCCCACAGAGTTGGAAACGTACTACATCAGATACAGACACTTCCACACAACAGCTGCTTATGCATCAATGTGGTTACTACAGTGATGTAAAGGTGGAGC